ATCGTATCAACATCGCAAAGTAAACATAAAATGGAAGAACAGGAAAGGAGAACATTTACAGGGTTTACGAATCGCTTCATACAAATAACAAATATACGAAGGAGATGAGACAAGCAGAGGGGTCCAGCTAGCGAATTTTATTCTAAAAATTCTCAAGGCCCGAGGAGCGACGCGCTCTTTCCCCCATACAAACAGAACAAGAGAAACGATGGATGTGTACGGTGCTGAGTTCAGATATAGTAGCGAGAAACGATGAATGAGAGCAGGCAGTGTATAATGAGATACGGCTTGAAGAAAGTGTTGGTGTATGGTTTGCGGGTTACGACCGAATTCGCTAGTGGGGCTCTGCTATATCGACATCGCGCGACGCTTTTTCTGATTACCTTGCGAGTGAAGGTTAGTGCTAGACGAAAGGTATGTGACGGTGAACAAATAGAAGAAACGTATTTTGGAAAGAAACAGAACGAACGGACGCCGATATGCAGAACGCACACTGCAACCGCAATCCGTAACTATTACTTGGGTAGGGCGAACGACGGTCAGCGAAAACTGTTGATAATTCGGTCAGAAACAAGCCACATCGATGCATAACACAAAACAAAAGGAACGCTACATCAGGAACATGAACAAGGTCTTGGACTCGTTTGAAGGGAACTAAGGTCCCAAGAACGCAGCCCTAGATATCTCAATGACCACTAAAAACTACCAAAATGAAACATCGTATTAGCTGCCGAGCTCGAGACCAGTAGAAATTTGCAGGACTATTTTGACATATGCAATAGAACAGAAAACAGAAACATGCAAAAATGAAGATGAGAATAAATCCGCCAGGTCCCGTTGCCAGGTGGCTAATACACTTCAACTCATCTATAGTATGCTTATGCAACAGCTGCGCAGACGCACAGAACAAACATAGAAAGGAGTGTCAATCCAAAACAGCAGCGTGCGTCCTTTGAATAATGCCTATATAATAGGTGCATGCGAACCGTAGTAGCAAAGAACGAAGGTGGAAGAATTAAAATTGTGGGCTATGGAGTCAAGTCGACAGGTTATTCATCACCTTTGCCGAATAAGGTGAAGAGCCCGAACGACCTAAGGCAGTCAAGCTCACAATATACCATGCAGATAGGACTAGATATAGAATGGAATCACACGCAAACTATTTTTTGCTTCGTGAAAAGAATCCACTCTTCTTCGCTTTTGCTTGGGCTCCTTCAGGCAGTGTTTGTGACCGAGATCCTTCTTCCAGCTGTGTCTGACCAGTTGCTATTTGTAGTTCGGTCAGCCATCGTTGACAGTCTTCCTAAACACTTTTTTCAATTACAAAGCTATCCGTTTTCTAATTAAAATAAGTCGGAGATAAATGAACCAAGCGCACCTCACTAGCGCATTGAAGTAAGTATTCCGCTCCTATAGGCATACGAAGTGATAACACGTTCTTCTTCTTTTGATAATCTTGGGCAACATTTACCGAACATCCCGGTAAGCTGACAGCTGGTTCATTGTGGAATGAAGTCCCCTCTTCCCTAAATAGTCGAGTTTTGGAGGTTAACGAAGATTTACATGCCATCCATAGGTAAGATTTTACGGTGGATTTTGAAATTTTCTCTAAACTCACTTATGTTTCGAATCTTTATAGAACGTGAGTTCGTTATTACGCAGCACCGCTAACAACTTCTCCCAGGACCGATTCGATGCTTTTCGGTCCAAGGATTCGTAGGTATGCTTCCTAATCAACGTGCCCTCAAATGCATCACCAGCCTTTGCGCCTATAAATTAGATTTTAGTAGTGTTCATTCAATATTTTATTACAGGAGTGCAGCAGAGGCGAAGAAGAATATACTGAGAATTCTGGATTCAAGAGTATCTCTCAAGCAGAGTACTCAAAAATAAGATTATTCATCAAATTTACAAAGAAAATTATAATTCACTTACATCCAACAACAGCACAAGCACTCAACAAAACTAAATGCTCCCAAATTTTCGGAACATTTGCACAAGCATTCATGGAGACTCACGCAACACAAACTACCAGAACTTAGTAAAATCACCAAGATAGATTTGGATAACTTCAACTTAGAAAACTTACCGCGAGGGTCACGTGAATCGAATTTTGGCGCACGAGCAAGAGACATGCGCCAACCGCTGCTTTCACC